GCTGCTGCCCAGCCCTGGGTTCGGGAGCTGCTGTTTGGGGAGCCCCGGGAGCACCCGGGACAGGCTCAGACCAAAAAGGTTCCGCTCTGAGCGGTTTTTGTCCGGGAGGTTCAGCAGTGCCTTCCCCACCCATCAAAGGGCCGGGAAAGGAGCCCGGGAGCTCCAGGGACTCTGCGGGAAGGGAAGAGCACAAATGTTCCTGTTGGCACCTTCAGGTCCTGTGAGACACCCTGAGGTCACCCTGAGCCTTCCCCTGGCCAGGTGAGCACCCCAAGGTGTCCCAGCAGAGCTGCTCCATCCCAAGGGATCCCTCTGAATCCTTCTGAATCCCTCTGGATCCCTCCATCCCTCTGAATCCTTCTGAATTTTTCTGAATCCCTCCATCACTCTGAATTCTTCCATCTCTCAGAATCCCCCCATCCCTCTGAATTCCTCCATCCCTCTGAATCCCTCCATCCCTCTGAATCCTCCATCCCTCTGAATCCTCTGAATCCCTCTATCCCTCTGAATCCTCTGGATCCCTCTGGATCCCTCCATCCCTCTGAATCCCTCTGAACTCCTCCATCCCTCTGGATCCCTCTGGATCCCTCTGAATCCCTCTGGATCCCTCCATCCGTCTGAATTCCTCCATCCCTCTGAATCCCTCTGGATCCCTCTGGATCCCTCTGAACTCCTCCATCCCTCTGAATTCCTCTGGATCCCTCCATCCCTCTGAACTCCTCCATCCCTCAGAATTCCTCCTCTGGACTCCTCCAGCCCCTTCCTGCACTGCAATCCAGAGCTGGAGCAGAATTCCAGGTGCTTCTCCTGGCAGTGTTGGGCTTTGCTGARCAGCCAGGCAGGTTTGGAACAAAATGTCCCTTTTTTGTATCCCCCAAGCATAAATTATCAGCTCTAACACRTAATTGTGGGGAGAGAGGGAAACGGCGGCGAGAGAGGGAGGAAAACAAAAGTGAAATGGAGTTAAACTGTAAACRCAAACAGGTTTTGAAAAGGATAAGTGTGAAGTAAATGAACCAAAACTGGCTTAAACACAGGGGAGAGCGGATAATCGAGTTCAGGAATTAGAGAGAGAAAGCAGGAGCTGCGGTTTGGAAGGACGTCCACGGAGCAGAACAGCCAGGGATGAGGAAAGTCGAGTCAAGGATAATGGGCTCACACCACAGAAAGCCTTTGAAAACCATCGATTGGGCATTTCCACGGGCAGGGAATGCTCAGCACGGGCTGGGTTTGGGGCTGCAGCCCCTCTGCTGCCCCCGAGGGATGTGCTGGCTCCTGGAAAAATCCCCTAAATGACCAAACCGCTCACCCAGAGTGAAAATGGGGAGTTTCGGGTGTTCCTGGGCACGGTGTTGGTGGGCAGCCCATGGAGATGAGTGTCACCC